AATATATATATATGGACATAAATATAAAACTGTCAAGGTTACTAAACTAGTGAAACTGTTCCAGTGTCTATATAACTGGAGGACATCTAATAATATAATACATTCCTGGGTCATAAACAACATCATTCAAGTGCCTTTTAAAGATTGCTTGTTTACTATGACCTTATCAACATTTGACTTCATTAAAACTGCTACATCATGATGCTTAACTAAATTATATCATTTAAGCACCTCATAAAAGATTAACTGGCAACAGTAACTGAATTGGCATTTTAACTAATGCAAGTTGCCTAGTCATTGTTTTTACACACATTTGAAACACATTATGTAATGCCTCATGAAAGTTTTTGATGTTACGACATTTTTTTTATCCTTACATTTACCACATTATTTAAGCATGTTATAAAATGTAGTTGTTCGTTATAGGTGTATTTACACTTGAATTCATCTAAACTATTCTGGTTTAGTTTGGTTGTTTTTAAAGGTCAAAGTATGGCAGATTAATAATAGTGTGATTTAGAGTGTAAAACTGACAATTTACACATAATACATTGCAATCTAGTGTAAAATTGAGAGTGCACACATAAAGGATTTTGTGATTTAGTATGAAATTGAAAGTGTAAACATTACAGAATGTAAAATTGGGAATTACAAGCTTTTATATTTCATTTCTTGAATGATCTTTATTATTATAAATTAAGAAATGTATTAAACAAACTTTTTATTTTATGTATTAGTACTATAACATTAACTATTTTGGTAAGCTATTATGATAAAAGATTTCAGGTTAAACCTAAATAAAACTTCAGCTCTATACTGAGTATCTGTTAAAATACAAGGGTTAAATACAGAACTAGACATTGTACAATAAACTGGCTATTTCGACTCGTGCATCTACAACTCTAAAGGTCAAAAACCTGTCATGACAGTAACAGCTATAATTTAAACTCACACATACACACAGAAAGTACATAATTGAAAAATAACCTCAGAGTAAACTCTTTACACACCCTTGCCTTACATTGAAATTTTAGAAGAGAATTTTTAAAATAAAATAATTCATAATATAACTGCATTACACATTTAACAACTACATTAATTCACAAGGCTTTATATTTGTTTACAACAAATAAACTAAAGCTAGGTTCAACTTACCTTTACCTATAACACATAGAGCCATAATGTTCGATGAATACCATTTTTCATGAAACTTTAGAAGCTCTTGTCTTGTGTCAATATTTTGAGACTTTGGGATTTCTTCTAATGTCTCTTTGTTTCCTGAAAAAATATATCAAAATCAAAACAATGAAGTTATGTAAAAGGTTCCAAAAGTAACTTTTTTTACAGATATAAATACTTATTATTACTAAAGTATCTACAGCTTGCCTTTTATACAAGGATGGCAAAGATCAAACCATTCTGTCCTCAAATCATTTGGAAAGTCAACAGGACACAACATAGTAGCTAATTTAAGTTTGTGAATTAAATTACAAGTGTTCTGCTGGTGTTAAACTTTTTTGAAACGAAACAGATTAAGGTGTTTTATACAAAGAAAAAGGATGGACAATAAGTCTTTATTAACCCTCTCAATACAGGTAGGTCAAAGTGAACATGTCCCAACTTTTTACAGTTAAATTAAAAATGTAATTAAACTACTTTACCACTAATGTATACAAGTTTTCATTTCTTAATTTCAAAGAGAAATACTTAAATACATTCTAAATCCCCCCTTGTGACATATGTTCACTCCAACTTCCCTATTTTCTTCTATTTTTCCTCCCCTCCCCCCAAGTCAGATGTTCCAAATTTAACATAAATTACTCATTATAATATAGATATTAATAAACCATAGCATAATTTTTATAGCCTTCAATCTTCTTTGTTCACAGAGATATAAACTAGAAAATCAGCCCGACTTGCCATGCCCACTTATCTCATCCCTTCTTTTACAAATTGCCAATAATTTTCTGCAGCATTTGCTATTACATCATTTATAACCAATAGAAAGAGTTCTAATTTACCAAATGGTTTATAATGCTGCTTTGCTCTTAGTAGAGATTTGGTTATTACATCTACAAACCATAGTTGCTATCACTGGATTCAGATGAAGTAGCTAAGGGAATTATTTTAAGGCACTTATGCCTTAGTTATTATAATACCTGTTCAATTATGTTCTGTAGGACATTGTTCACTTTCTGTTCTTAAGTGCATGTTTGAGGTAGAACATTAATTTGATGTGTTACTACCATCATTAAAAAGAAGTAGGCTTAAGTTTCATCAACAGGCTGACAACAACAACAGAAAAAAAAAAGCAAGAGGCCATAGGTAAGTAATAAATTTCTTGCTTTTTATGTATATTTTTTATTCATTGTTATAAAAGTAACTAAAATGTAAGAACCAGAAACTCATTAGGTTAGTTAGTTAGTTTGTTTGTTATGGATTTTGCGCAAAGTACACGAGGACTATCTGCACTAGCTGTCCCTAATTTAGCAGTGTAAGACTTTAGGGAAGGCAGCTAGTGATCACCACCCACCGCCAACTCTTGGGCTACTCTTTTACCAATGAACAGTGTGATTGACCATCACATTATAATGCCCCAACCGCTGAAAGGGCAAGCATGTTTGGTGTTACAGGGATTCAAACCCATGACCCACAGACTGCGAGTCGAGCGCCCTAACCACCTGGCTCATTAGGTTAGATAATGAAAAAAATAACAGCAAATTTCTGTACAAGGTATGCTCAAGTAGTTTGTGCATTATATCACTCAGTACAGTAACTTGACTTATACATTCACAGTGTGGTTTACAGCTTTTATTGTGGGATTATTTGTTGGGCAAGGTTCATAGAGCAATAAAACATTAAAATTAAATAAAACAGATGTGAACTGTTATGATAATTAAGCTATTTAGGTTAAATAATTGTAATTTTCTGTTACAACCTGCAATCACTCTAGCAAAATGAAAAACAGATGTAAACTGTTATGATCATTAAGCTATTTAGGTTAAATAATTGTAATTTTCTGTTACAACCTGCAATCACTCTAGCAAAATGAAAAACAGATGTAAACTGTTATGATCATTAAGCTATTTAGGTTAAATAATTGTAATTTTTTGTTACAACTTGCAATCACTCTAGCAAAATGAAAAATGCAACCTTATATTCCTGTTTTGTGATGGTTACAAGGTTGGTCGAATCAATCAAGTCCATACAGTACAGAAGAGAAAATAAACAGATAAAGTATAAAGCTTTACTTAAAAAAAAAAAAACTTTTGATATTGATTAAGGGGGTTTTAGAGGTTAGGAAAATGAAATCTGAAAACTAAAATGGAAACAGTTAAAAAAAAATCTAAACAAGAAAACTACCTTCTACTCAAACTGGTCAGAATCCAAGTCCCACTCTGACTCCATATATCAATAGACAAATCTTAAGTATTACTAAATCAAAAAATCTGGTTATTTTGTATAAAGACTTGTAATGGTTACTAAACACTTGCCAATTTTTGTAAAGTTACACTTATTACACTAGAAGTTATAACATGGATACTTTCATGGCGACTTGATCTTTACAAGACCAGTAAAAGTGACCAAGCCCATAAAGAAATAGTTAATTTAAGGTGAAACATAATCATATAACAAATACAAGTTATAACATGGATACTTTCATGGCGACTTGATCTTTACAAGACCAGTAAAAGTGACCAAGAAATAGTCAATTTAAGGTGAAACATAATCATATAACAAATAATGAGATTACTAACTAATGCCAAGTTTTATACAAAATTCTTTGGTTTAAAACCATAATAAGAACACTGACATTAAGAGTCAAACAACCTTTTTCTGTTGTTTTAGGCAAACTTTTGAAAAGATATTCATTGTAGATTTTATTGTTTTTGTATTTAAAAGTGGTTTTTAGATAATTTAAAATAAACCGATAACAACATCGCACTCAAAATATGATGTCGATGAATTGATGACATATGAGGTTGAGATTTACTGGATGAACCTTCTTTCATTTTGCACAAAGAACTATAACAACCTGGTAAAGTTCTGATTATTTGGATATTCTTGTACTGATTCTTTACTTATCTGTCCAGGCTTTATTTTGTAGGCATTACCAAAACATCCTTGTTTGAACGAAACCTTAAAAACATTTATTTGCAAAATACAATTTACAACAAAGAGACTGTCATAACCATCCAGAAGTACAGTGTTATAATGTTTTGTAAGATTCATCATTTGTTCATTTCTTTTCCATAATTACCCCCTACTTTTTTGATTTTAACAAGATAGAATGTTTGCTAAATTCCATATGCTGCAAGGGTACATCATCCATTAATTCTTTAACATTTGTTGTTATCCAGATCCAGAGAACTTTTGATAATAAATACTGCATATCCAATCATCCTCAATAATTTCTTCAATAAGACTCAATGTCACATCCACATTACTTTTTCCTAATCTGCCCAGAAAATGAAATGATACAACCTGTTAATGCCCCACATATCTTCTACATTTGAGTTGCAATTCTTGTTAATTTCATCAGAATCTTCATCACAATCACTAATAAGATCATCATTACTACTATCTCTACCACTGATATAATCCTTTTCACTAGCATCACACTAGTCATTATCGCATGAATCATGTACCTAATTCTTCAACATTTTCAACCTCTTCCATCTACACCCAAATATTCAAATGGCATTACTTTCATATCTGTAGAGCAAGCTTCACTGAAATGCTTCACTTTTACAAACGTCTTCAGCACCATCCCATTCTCAATTGAAAACTCTCTCAATGCTCTCGGTTTATAGTGAAAAGTTCATCAACTTCATTACCCACTTAGCAAAGAGTTGCAACTAAGTGAACAGGTGAAATTGTTAAAGAACACGTTCATTGATGTGGCAAACTGATCCCTTTCCATCCTGTGACACTGTTAGATAAAAACTATTTGAATATCAACCACCACCCTTGAAGGGACAGAATATACCAAATGACAAGCATCCATTGTGGTAATATTTGATTGGATGCTTCCTTTATCTAAGTTAATCATCAAAAACGTCACCTGTGGACACAACTACATCCCAATCTTGAGTTTCCAGTAAAAAATGTGATAGTAGTATAATACATGGAAGTCATGAAGTGGCAGCTTAAGTATGTTATCACCCTCATCTTTATCCTCCAATGTATACACTATACTCATATGGCAGCTGAATTATGCCTTATCAAAATGTGCATAATTTTCTTTCTGTATACACAGACTTGAACTTCATCTAACCTATATAATTACATAAAAGCCACTGTGTGTCACGTCATGCTTGATTTCTTAAAATAGAAGTTATGAACACGAAAATGCATTTATTCAGCTAGAGTAGTTCGATTACTCTCTGCCCATTACTATTTTAGTGAGAGGAGTGGAAGGGAGCTGTGAGGAGTGGGGTGTGCTGTGAAACCTTATAAGTGTAGTGAGTGTTGGTATAACAAGTCTAAAGTAAAGACGTAGTGTGGGATCACCTAGCCTAAAGCCCAGTTAATAAAATTTATCATGAAAGTAAAAATATCAATTTAATTTTCAACTTAAATCATTTCTGAATTAATCTATTTTCTGTTATATCACCAACGTTTTTAACAAGTCTCTTTAATCAACAGAGACTCAAAATTAAGAAATCAACAACTATTTGTCCACTTTTATTGTCTATACATTTCATTTTATACTTTCAGTAGGTAGACTAACAACAATACTAGGTTATACTTTTGTTGCTAAGCATCAAAGCCATTGTTTGAATGTAGTGTTACCAAAATGCATTGGCTTTTCTATATATTAGAAGCTGTTAATCTAACTGATTTTTACCAATAATTATTCTATGAATTCCAGGAATTAATTTCATAAATTATCTTTATTTTGATTGACTCACAAAAGAATTTACCAACAGTTGACTGCCTCGACTGCACTTTTCTGCCTCTTTGTTGGTCAAGCTACGATATGCGAGGTTAGGGGTACACAATGGGGTAGAGGGTGGTAGTATTTGCTCCATAATTATCAAAGGGCTATACACTAGTATTATAACAATCAACAATTAGCATGGTATCAGTAGCACAAATTATTTTTCCTTATCCCTGTTATTACAATACCACTGTGATGCTCACAGTGCTTTACATTGTGTGTTATATTGTGCGTTACGGTTAAACTAACAATCACACAGTCTAACTTCACTTTCACTAACTTAACATTTTCCTCTTAACTTCTTTAGAAATTACCCGTCATGGCTAAATTGCCAATCACTCAGTCTAGATCTGTCTAATTATCTCTCACTTAACTTGCTTTCTTGACTTCCTCTCTCCATCTGCACATATATAAAATGCAACAGAAAATCTAGAAATATCTAGCCCTCTACTGACAACAATATTATACACAATGAGAAAAACTTAGAAGCTTCAAGAAAGATGATGTCAACAATATTACAAAAGCCTAGTACAACAATTAAATTGTGTACACAACATACGACCCATAAAGAGTTATGTAACAAAAATTGTCATAACTGTCACTTTTAAACTAATTAACTTTTAACACTCTTGTTATGAAAACTAAATAACCATTAAATATTAGATCACTAAATGAACTAAATAATAAATCTTACACTAAACAGTCTTGTATATCCAACAACACTCAAAAGTAAACCTTTCAACAACTTATACTGATACTTGCAATAACAGAATGACTGATTATACTCATTTTCTTTCTGTTGAATTTCAGGCAAACAGTTTTTTGGGGTTTCTTTATGTATTTTTTGCTAAATCATTACAAGGTACTATTTCATGGTCAACAAAAATTATAATACAACTACTCCAATTCAAAATTTTATAATGTCACAAAGTTATATCCACAATATCTGTTTTTTCCCCACTGTGATAAAGCTTACTTGGAGTCAGTAAGTTATAAATTACTTCAAATATTTGTGTTCAATTACCAAGAATCATGGAATAATTGTTTCTCACCTGTTCCAAATTTACTGAAGTCATGTTTTGGGTTTCCAAGGGACTTTTCTAATTGGTTTAGACGCCATATATCTACTTTTAAGTTTTTTTCGTGCTCAGAGTTGACAGCATTAACCTCTCGACACGTAGCACTTTCGGTAAAAAGTGGTCCCACAAAAAATTGAGAAAATCTAAAAAAAATTGACAAAAGCATTATTTACACCTCCTTTTTTACATGATTCACTTACCATGATTTATCTATTTATGAAGCAGTGAAGAAGCACTATAATAAAAATTATGTTAGTCACTAATGTTAGTCCAGACCCTCCAATCTCCACACCTACTGGAAGTATTATACTACAAAATAATGCTAGAGAATGTTTCTAATTTCATGATTTTAAACTGCATGTTTTTAAAAATATAAACTGCTAGCAACTTACAAGCTAACATCTATAGGCTAAATTGCGTCCTCTGCTTATGAATGAGTAAGAATAGGTCACAACTTAACCTACACAGATCTGCATATAAAATGTTGCTTAAGATATAGAAACAAAGAAAATATATTTTTCTTAATTATGTTTCATACGGTAAACTGCTAGAATAGCAACACATGAGAAATGAAACGGTGAAATACCTCTGTAGACAAAAAAAAATTTAGCCAAGTTCAAAATGATTAAGAACTAAAAAGTGTATAAAAAAACTAACTGAAAATATACTAAAAACTTGCATTCATCAGCTTAATTTTTACTGACCACATTAATAAATGTATTTTGAGATCACTGAAATAAAACCTCACAAACTATGCTAATACAATGGAAAACAATAAAAGTTTTAAAATCACACCTGATTTAACTAAAACTCACATTCTAGATATATATAATGTCATTAGATCATCATACACTACTTCTGAGGGTGGAAAAATGTCCAGAGTCTAATCTTTAACTTTTTTTAAAAATTGTATTGTGTGTTCTGACAGGAACAAAATAATGACAAAGATTTGAAAAATTCTGTCTGATCTTTCCCTCAAAATACCCACCATACAACTGAAATGTTGAGATTCCTAATTTTCTTTTTACAAATGTTTTATTAATATTTGTTTTAGATAAAGTATTTAAAATAAAATTAAAACTGTTAGACCTAATTTTCAATTTTGGCATCCTCTTGTCATTTTTACTGATATGGTGAAAATTGTTAATCTTTCCTGCCTGTGCAAATACAATTTTTGCTCAAACAGTTGAAAAATAGTATGTTTTTGTAATGTGAAAACCTATAATCCAACTATTTGCACGTTTTTTAAAGCTTTCAATTTTCTCAAGCTAATAAAGTAATAAATATATCCTCTGTGATTATTTTCCTCTCCTAATCTACTTAGTGTAGAACTTTCTCCTTCCTTACAATGACTACAAATTTTTAAAGTTTCTCTTTAACAATAAATGAGCATTCATGACTTGAAATAACCTCAGTTATAAACAGTTTTGTCCAGTTTGTATGCCACACAAAAAGCAATAAATTAACTTAATGGATTTCTCTGTGTGTTTATTTTGTTGTAGTAGCTGCTTTGGCAATCCATATTTTGTACATAAGAAATCCTGTTGTTGTAATTTAAGAGAATGGGTGATCCACAGATTCTACAAAATCCCTCAGGTGAAAGTAGAGGTCACAGAGTGGAATCATATTGAAACAATATTTAAAAAAACATAGATCAGAGGTAAGTCTTTAAATGAAAGAGTAAGATAAATACTGTTTACTCTATTTGTTTTAGTGCTTTAGACAATACTGATTGCAACAACTTATAACAATAATGTGGATTAGGGATGGTTCTTGTCTCATTGTTGGGAGGGCAAGTGGACATTTGGGGGATGTGAATACAGTGATCTTTTAAGCATAGCATGGCAACACCTATCAGTTAGTGAAACAACCCAGCAGACATATGTGGAAGTGTACAGCCACATTTTCCACTGCTTAATACTGGATAACTTTGTAAGTGTTTTGTAACTTTGGCTAGAACTTGGGAACCTCTTAATGGCTGTTACCGTGGGGTAAGATCACTTGGTTTCATAATTTATGTTAATAAAGCAAGATCACTTGGTTTCATACTTCATTTTAATAAAACTTGGTCACTTGGTTTTATAAGATGTGAATAAAGTATTGTCGCTTGGCTTATAAACAATTATTCTAATTCCATGTATAACTTGCTACCTTAGTACTCTTACCGTTATATTATACAAACAGTTTTGACTAGTGGAAATAAAATCTATTATAATAATATTCAGTTTTTGTCTGAAAATGCGTGAGAACTTCATTTCAATGAACAAACAAAAAGGTGGATGCAAGTATTCTTTAGTAGACCATCTTGTACAACAACATATTAAAAGCTTATCAAAGTTTTAACAAGGTCTAACATTAGATCATAGAATAACATTATAAGTTTACTGATAGTAGTAACTACAGTAAAGTTTAGCCCTAACTAAAATAAAGAAAAAATCATACATAAGTTACTGTGTTAACTTATCTCTTTATCGAATATAGGCCATATTTAATAAAGGCTTAACTAATGTTAGGCCTAAGACAAGTGGACTTGTAGATTTCTAATGTTTGCGACTAGAATTCTTTTGTATTATTCTAGAAATCCTACATTTAAGGAATTATTGTTGTAATAAGGATACCAATTTGATTGTAAATGTTTTGTGGGTCTCTGCTAGTTACAAAGTAATGCAAAGTTTACCTGTCAAGAGCTCCTTGCAAGAACTCAGGAGCCACATCGAAATAGAAGTTGGTATGTTGTGTACTTGTGAATGCATTTGAACTACCACCATGTTGGTTTAAAAACTACAAAACAAAATACAATATTTAGACACACAATTATACACAAGTCTTACATTTGATGAATATTTAAGAAAAAAACTCATGCATATCTTAAGATACACAACTTTCTAAGTATTTTCTACTTAACGTATTAAACTTTAACAATATACATTCCCATCATGGACCATAATGAAAACTGTAGAATTGCCACACACATTTTCAAAGAAACTGTTTAGCTGACTTCATGGTAAACATCTCAAATTGTAAAATTTATAAATAATTATTCTTTCACTTAGAACAGGATTTCTTGTTTTATTTAGTTAAAAAATAATTACTTTTAACCCTTCACTAACATGCATTAAGTAAACACCTACATTAACTTCTAATGAAATTATTTTACATTCAAAATCAAAAAGCATTCAAATGTTTACATATTGAAAGATATTTCAGTAACATTTTAATAACAGAACAAATTATTCAACTCTAAAACTTAAATCCTTGCCTTAATTACTGCAAGTCTTTATACAGAATAATCAATATAAATTAGCTTTAGTTTCAAAATGTAATGCTGTAATAAAGAATATTACTTCTTGGGTTAAAATTGTTTTTATAAAATTAAACATCATAAGCCAGTTTACAATTAGCAGTATCATGTTTTTTAAAAGGAATACTTTAACAATTTTGAATTCACATATAACATTTAGCATAAAATACAAGATGAAAGATTACATACACCTTAGAAATGGCAATACCATTTTAATATTTCTTGGTCAGTGACAAAAAAAGGTACTTACTGCATTGTATTCATTTTCTGATGGATACTGAAAAAACAAAAACATATGCATGAAAAGACTGCCTTCTACTTTCTTACAGATTAATAAATGATAAAAAAATTTTCGTATTACAGTTCTGATATTTTTCCATGAATCAGATAAAAATTTTATTTTAACTCTTTCCAGCCACTCCTCCACTACAGTGGAGGATTTCAGCTCACTTCATTTGGTCCCAGTTTTTGCCGAGTTTTGCAGACAATAGGTGACACGACAGTAGTATTGCAAGACTTATTGGCAGAAAACATTTTGGAAATGAGCTGGTGGGCCATCAGTCAGATACCCACATGATGCTCAGAGACCAGAAAACATGAAACAACACCTTCTAGTGTTCACTGAAACCATTCATAACTGTAGGGTTTGTAATTATGGAAATTTGCATGATGGCAAACGACTGACATATAAAGGAAATTGCCACCGCACTCATTTTATGTGCAGTCACTGTAGAGTATAATTGTGTTTCAACAAAGATAGAAACTGTTTTGAACTTTATCATACACATAGAAAGTACTAACTGTGAACAATCATTGTGCTATTTGCCATGAGCACCTCAGTGTTCATATTAAGGTATCTTATTAAGTTTGGAGTCACTGCATGTTCTGTTACTCTGGATGAGAATAAATCTCATAAGTATTCAGTCTGGAAAGAGTTAAATGAACCACCAAAACTGTTTATATGCAGAGCAAGTTTTAACTCATTTTTATTTAAATGAGTTTCTATGCTTTACAAGCACTGCTAAGGATGCATACACAAGTATACCAAGAAGTTTTTGATCTATCTAGAAAGTCATGCAAGAATACTATTTTCCAGGGAATCTTTTAACATAATAATTTAATAAATACAGTTAACAGCTGTGTCTGTTTTATGATAACAAAACTATTTCATAAATTAACTCATGTATTAACTTTATCTACTATATCATTAACAGTAACATATAACATATTAATAACATAATTTACAGTTCATAAACTGATTATATACTATTAATAAAATAAATGGACTAATTAAATTTCAACCACGTGGGTTGTGCTACTAATTGTTTACATGTACATTTCAAGCACGTGTAGGATTCATTGATCAATGTTTACTTCTGAAGCTGTGTTTATCACTGTTAGTATTGTTGCGTCAGCGAGGTCACGTGACTAGTATCACGCCCCCTGCTTTCTGGAAATATCTTGTATCTTCGTGAATTGTCGGGAGATTACTAGATATAGGGTAGTCTGGTATATATATAAGAGGTT